TTTTTATTGTACCCCAGAGTCCAGTGGCAGGTGAGTAAAATACAAAAGAGGTTGGAGAATCTGGGGGGCTCTTCCTTCATAGCAGTAAAATGACTCTGACAGTTTTGTATGTTCTGCCAGTACTGTCAAAGAACAGCAAGCCAATACACACGACCATCCTGAACCCTCACGTCCACGTCATCGGTGAAGACGCTGCCTGCATCGCGTACATCCGCCTGACGCAGTACATCGATGGCCAAGGCCGGCCCCGCACCACGCAGTCCGAAGAGACACGCGTCTGGCACCGCCGGGACGGCAAGTGGCTGAACGTCCACTACCACTGCTCTGGAGCTCCTGCAGCACCTCTCCAGTGAGGATCAAATACGGGTATGGACTGCCAGGCAAGGAGTGTATCATACACACAGCTAAGGCTGTTGTCTGTGGGAATTCAGCATTCAGTGCTGTTTATGTGGCTGTGAGAGAGCCATATTTAGTTGTCTGTAGGCTTAAAGCTTCTGCTATAGTTGGTGTCCCTGCCTTTAAGCCCTGTCCTCTGGACTCCATAGGATTATATGCCACATGGCAAACTGGAGTCGTGTGCCAGACAGTTGTTCTAAGCGTAGGTACTCTTGTAGCAGCAGTGCTTCCTCCCAGGTACTCAGGTCTGTGCTGAGACAGACTGCTAATCCAGAGCAGAGAGGAAGAGTCTCTCATGCTGTGCACAGGTTTGCTATTCCACAGCTGTCAGGGATCTACCTTTACATGCTGGGGGTGATTTCAGAGAACTTTTTTCATGAGAAGTTATATTCTAGAGAGAATATTGCAGAATCCACACAGAACAATTTCTATGCCATAAGGGGTAAAGATTTATTAATGTAAATTTTACTAGTGATTTTCTGATAAGCCAAAACTATTTAATGTACCATGTTGAGAAAACTCAGATGGGAAAAAATCTAAACAAAGAATAACATCAGAGGACTTAAAATATCCCCCAATTAACTTGCCACAATTCAGTATTGGAGGAAATTTTGATTATAAAATTTGTCATGGAAAAACAATTGTTGCTTGTTTCTAAAGGACATCAGATCCATCTCCTTCTGCAGCATTTAGACATTCCAGTTTATTGCCTTACTGGTTTCTTTTAGTCAGGTGTACAAAGTCTTTCTGCCTCCTTTTGTTTTATGCTGAAGTATATGTTGCATTCATTTTAAAGACCTAAGTTTCCTAATCTTAGGACGTTTTTACTAAAGATTTTCTATTTAAGAGCAAACACAACAAACATCTACAGCTGGGAGGAAAGCGTTTTTTAATGTGGTCATTTGAGGATGAACCACTCAAGTATAGTTGCTACTTGAGTTCTAGTCCCATGAACTACTTGGGACTAAGCCAAGAGCACTTTTTATTCCTGTATCTTCTGAGGTATTCAACCCTACTGAAGGCAATGGAAAGGAATGTGAACTATCACAAGCAAACTGCAGAGGTCACAGAAGGAATTTGAAAAGCAAAAGCCAGTTGGGGGCACCAGAAGCAGGGAAGCTTTCAAGAGAGCTGGACAATCAGCTGAATTTTCAGGAAGTAAGGCAGTGAATAGGATAAAGTCTTTGCAGGGAAACAAAAAACTTGCATCAGATTTCATCACAGACATGTTGACAGAGACTTCTGTCCTGGATTTAGTCCAAAAAAAGATGCAGAAGAAATTATTAAATTAAAGATTGGTATAGCTCAGTGGCTATGCTTAGGAGTGCTGAGGAATGGAAAGTCTTAGCTGCTACAGAAGAGGTATGTTCCCTTGACTTGGCTGCTGAAATGCTGAAACCCTCCAAAAGTATGTGCTGGAGGGTTTCTGAAAATGCAGAGCAGAAGCTATTTCCAAACCACAAAATGTTGGTTAAAACAATATTTTAAAAACCCTTTACACTAAATAGAAGTTGAAGTATTTGCATGTGTTTGTGGGTTCTGAAGGAGGTGTGCCCATGTGGGCAGTGTGGGCAGCCCCATCTGAACACACTCAATCATTTGGGAGCAGTGTTGGCCCATGTGCAGTGAAAGCTAAGGATGAAGAATGAATGAGGTGAATAAGAATGCTTAAATAGTAATCAGTGGTTTGTTCTCACCTGGAAAGCAGAGTTCAGTTTTGGGTGAGCCATCTCAAAAGGAAACTGCAGCCGTAAAAGAAGTTTCATGTTAATCAGAGGAATTCTGTGTGAGGAGAGAGTAGGAACGAAAAAGGGAGAAGACTTTAATAAGAGAGATTCCTACAAGGATTTGCAACTAAGAAATGGTAGAAAGAAGGTTTTGGCTATACTTTTGTGACAGGACAATGCTAAACAAATATTAAAAAAACCCCAGACTTAAAAGTGATCAAAATAAATCCAGTAATTTGGAACATGAAGATCATCTAGGAGGAACGTTTGCTAAAAGCAGTCACTAGGGCTACAACTTCACAAAACCGCAGCAAAGCTCAAAGATTTGTTCAAACATTAAGAACATTCAGAGACAAAATTACTGAAGGCTTAAAAAAACCCCCAAACAAACAAGAAAAAAGAATTATAATTCATTACAAGGCAAAAGTCAATGGGAAGTGAGGCAGAAACTGTTCCTTAGGACCAGAGCCTTTGAGCACCCCTTAGGAAACTTCTTCAGCTTCTGGGTCGTCACTATTAGATAGTGGGCCCAGGTCTGCTCCAATGAATTATGGAATTCATTTCAGCAGGTAGTTCACTTTCATTGGCATACTCAGCCACCTGGAAGGGAAAGTGTGTGCCTCTTGTCTTCAGAGCTCTCCTCACAACCTCCGGTCTCTGTTGTGTTAGGAAGAGTTTCTAGCTACACCAAATAATTAGCCTGTAGAAAACTTGCGATTTCTAAACTGTGTACAGCTAATGTTTGGCTTTATTTCCTTCTATCTTCTATCCTGTTCTCTCCTCTCCTTTCTGGGTGGACACTACCTCTTCCTGACTGCAGCAACTTGTGGAGATACTCAGCTGGAGGGCAATATCTTCCTAGCAAGCAGCTCTGGAGTGCCTGAGTGACAGCAACGGTCATGTCTGTTTTGACATTAAAAAAATAAATACAAATTACAAACAGGCAGCAGCCAAATGCACGAAACCCTGCATGCATCTGATGCTCCGGGCACTGCCTTTCTGTTGTTTTCCATGGATCCATCGTGTCTGTTTCTGCTGTACGAAGGTGTTTTTAAATCTAAAAAAAAAAAAAAAGACATGTTGTTTGTATAAAATAATAAAAAACAGGAATAATGCTAAATAAATGACAGATTATCCAACATGCCCCCTCCCCCAGGGCTAAGAAAATGGCAGCAGCTGGAACATCTTTCAGAAATGAAGTGAGGGGGAAAGCAAAAGTGAAGGAGAGAGAAAGAGAGAGGGAGAGCAAAAGAGGAGGCGGCTTGAGCAGCGGATGGCTGAACTGTGCTCCACAAAGCCATGGTGGAAGCTAATACTGCATTCAGGCTGTGCTGCAACTTCCGTCGGTGCGAGGAGGCGAGGAGACCCCAGAGGAGCCAGTGTGAAGACTGGGGTTCAAGAGAGAGGAGGCACTTCTCTTCCTGTTGCCCGGTAGTCTGACTTCAGCCTGTTTCTTCTTCAATTTCTGCACAGCAAGAACGCTATGGAAAGCTGGTTGCTCAGCTGCTGGATCCCAAAACTGACTTTTTCTTTCTTTTTTTTTTCTTTCTTTTTTTTTTTCTTTTTTTTTTTAATGAAGTAAAACAAAATGGGATGTTGATTTAAAACTATAGATGGAAGTAGGGATTAAAAAATGGGTTTAAGTGAATATAACTTGAATACAAGCTTGCTCTTCAGTGATACTGCTTTTAGAAAGAGCCACTATCTGGCCAAACATGGAGTTTTGAAGCCAGCTTATTTAATTTAACAAAACCAAAAAAAGGCATTGCATTAAGAGCAGAGATTTTAGAGGAAGAGGGTAAACGTATGGGATTTTCTATTCCTTTTTTTCCTTTATAGTAGTGTAGTTGGGATCCACAGTGCTGCAGAACACGTGTTCCTTAGGAAGCAGACAAAAAACTTAGTGTTATGTTCTTCATGAAAACTTGCACATACACTCCTATATGAGGCATAAATAGCGTGTGTTTTTTATACTGAAATATATGCACCCGTAGAATTAAAGGGGTTACCTGGCCCTCCTGTTTGATTTGTTTGTTCTCCGAGTAAAATAGCAGTGGGAGCCAGCAGCCCCAGGCAGGTGCTTCTTCCCACCACTAACCCATCTGATGTTTGTAAGTGTCATGTTTCCTAGTGTTTATTTGGGTAATTTTTCTATTTTTTACAGTGATGTTGTAACACAGAAAACTATCAGATCAGAACCTCAAAAGCTGTAGCTGAAGGACTCCAGGCCACCTTCCCGTGTTGCCTCTGGGTGTTAGAGGATACCTCATGAAGCAGAGGGGAAAGGGAATGAGCACATGTGATCTGATGTTTGTCCTTTGGGCCAATTCATCTTCCTTTCTTTTCTTTGCTGCAAAAGGAGTTCAATTCCTTTACTCATTGGGTGGGGAACTTGGAGGTGTTTTGTTGACCTTACCAAGGAGGGAGCCTAGCCCCATGAAGAAAATGGCCTTTCTGGTGCACTTGATAGGATTTGTCTTGACCAAGGGAAGGCATCACTTGCAGAAGTTGGGATGAGCTTTTACTGAATTTGTCTACCCCAATCGTTTTTCGGATCTTTAGAGGGAGTTAAAATTATTGCCTTGACAGCATGCTAAGGGTTTGGCAAGCTTTTTGCAGACCACAGAAGAGAAGAAAGCCAATATGGAATTTTAGTCCTTACTCAACAAAATGCAGAAAATAAAAGCTGTTGCACAAAGTGGAGCTGTCACTTTGCAACAGATAGCACTCTGCTCCCTTTGTTAGGTGCTATCCCACACCAGGATTAGATCAGCTAACCCCTGATAAGGAAAAGACCGTCCACACTTTCCAGGTTTGTCTGAGCAAACACCCATTTCTTCCTCCCTCCACTACCCCAGGGAGGAGTGTGGGGTTTGAACCATGGGGGGCAAACACTAGATTTTATTATTGCAAAACATTTTTAAGACAGCACTAAGCCAGTGAGTGAAGCAGAAAAGTGAAAAGCCTTGATATTTTATTCAGACTTTTTTTAAAGACAAAGAGAGAGCAAACAGATTACAATTATGCCATTTAAAGATGATAAATACCAAACATTATGCATGCCTTCTTTCGGTCTGATCTTCCTTGTCGCTTTACCTGATGATTATTAATAATTAAAAAAGAAAACCCTCTGTATTAAGTATATGCATCTTTCAGAGAAAATTTTAAAAGAACAGAACTGTTGGGTTTTTTGTTTTTGCACAGTCTTGGAGACAAACTCTTTTGGATTTTTTGTTTGTTTTGTTTCCTTTTAAGTTAATGAGAACCTTAGCTTGGTATGGCCATTATCAAACACAGCTGTACACCTTTAGCATTCTTAATGTTCTCTTATGGGGCTAATGTAAGCATCTATATAATATATATTATAAATATCACATTTTAAACAGGAAATGGAAGGCATTTGATGCAGAATTTTTGCATGATATAGAAATAATTAAAGTTAGCTAGTGTTTGTTTGTTTGGTCTGAATGTTGGTAGAACCTTCATAGCTTTGTTACAATGAAACCTTGAACTGAAGATATTTAATAAAATAACATTTAAACAGTGTAAAGTTTGGAGTGTCACATTTTTCTCTTAAACCATGGGACAATGTGGAATTGGTACTTCCAGGATAAGAATCAATCCACAAAGCTTTTTTTTTTGTGTATATGTCAGTAAATTGTATGATTAAAAAGCGTAATGTTTAAAAAGGAGAAAAAGTGAAGTGGTACCATACCTGAAATGAGGGGTTGGGAGGGAAGCTAGCATTAAAAACAAAGGGACAACAGACTGTTGAAATGAACTTTATGGCCTTTGCCTGACAGGGAATTGTTGCTTTTATTCCTGATAGCCTGACTCTTGGCAAACCTATGCTGTTACTTCCTTTCCTGCGCTTTGTTTTCCTTACCAATATTTCACACTCCTTGTGGGAGAAGCTGCCTTGCCCTTAGGTTTGCATGATGTAAACAGGCTGATCTCAAGTTGGGTGTCTTACTTGTAAGCTAGCATATTTTGTCCTAGCTGGGGTGTTTCTGCAGAGGCACAGATCAACCACTCAGCTGTATGAGTTTGTCAGATCTAGCAGCGTAAGTATCATTTCCTAACAAGTAAAAAGTTAGTTGGATGTTTTGTTTCTATATCATCTCTTGTTACTAGCATTTTGTTTATATCCCGTTGTGTAGGCTTTGTACCACTCTGGCCTTTGCTGCTTCACCATTTTTATTTTATTTCCCACCTTGCAGAGCTCACGCTGCTCTTAATGGCAGGTGGCTGCGCCCTGAGCCTGCAGCAGGTGCTGCCCTTGCCCTCTGCTGAGCCCCTGCCCATCTGCCCAGCGTGGCTGGCGGAGGGACAGAGATGCTCAGGTGCTTCTCTGGTCTCCTGCTGCCGCTGGCCTTGTGTCGGGCACCACTACTGCTGTGATTGCACTGGGGGCACACATCTTGTTTTGGTACTGCCTGCAGCTAAGGCTGAGGGGCTCTAGCCAGCGTTTGTGCCCCCCGTTTGGCAGGTCTGGCAGGCTCAGCTCTTCCCAGCTTCGTCCGCGAAGTGCTGCAGATGGGAGGGGGTGGCTTTGTCTTATCACCGAAAGAGAGTTCAGTGTGCTTAATCCCCCTTAACTGCAGCAATTACCTAGTAAATAGGTGTCAGTTGCTGCTGCTTAAAGAGATGATTGCTTTTGCTGCCTGATGAAACAGGAGGAAAATTGTCCTTAGTGTTTAAAGGGAGAAGGTAAAGAGTTTTACAGCCTGTTTCACTGAGACTGAAGACAATCTGTTCGTGCCCAGAAGAGAGAGCTCCCGCTATTACAGCAGTAAAGAGAGGTGCTGCTATCATTTCTGTCATACAAGGCAGCATCATTCATCAGGTAAGGTCTCTCCTGAAGCGGTTAATTCTGTCTTAATGATCTTTGAAGAAATGTTGCAGTATGATCCGATAAGCACTAGGAAGGTACTCATAAAATTAGTGATGATTTCCCATGTTCTTACTAGCTCTTTTAACCAGGACAAGAATAATTTAAATACTTACTGAAAGCACAATAGGCTAATGCTCGTGTCAAGAATATTTATGTAGCATATGTATGGGGTCTGGTTTACATCTTACATTTTAGCTGACAGCAGGAGTTGGGAATGGCACTTATCTGCAGTGTGTATTGAGCTATCAAACAGGGATATTCCCAGAAACTTATTTTGCAGTATGCCGTAGCTGGTTAAAAGCTGCTCCTCCTATTAGATGGCCTTTTGCAATCTTCCTACTGAAGAGAAGTGTCTGAACGTGGTTTTCCAAGTTCCCTCTCTCCCAGTTTATGCACTCATTACTCTGGGGTTACTCTGGGGGAGACTTGGGGTTGATAGTAGCTTTTATATATGCACAAATATGATTTCCCTTTAAACTAGGATTGGTCTGCTCTCGTTTGCTGCAGTGGCACGAAGGCCTGGCAGGATCCTTTTATGCTGTAGTATCTATGAGATGTGGGGAGAAGCTTGAGCAGAACAAGACCTCGAATGTTAATATCTTTTCAATTTTATTATGAAAATTATTACCTCTTATTTAAGTGTAAGTGATAACGTAGACAGAGCATTTGACTTGCAATCAGATATGTGATCTGGTTTTGGTTTTGCTACGGCTTTGCAGGGTGACTGCAGGCTCTTCTGTGCTGTGTGCTTCAGCTTTCCCATTTGTGCATGCAGATGATAAGCCTGAACTCTGTAGAAACCACTGGAAGAGACTGATGAACAGTGATGCAGAGCAGCTGAGTGGTGGTGTTGCTACACATTACAGATTTGTATTTTTTCCCTGAGAATTTGAAAGGTTGGGACTGCAGACTAATGCACCTGGAATGCCTGGGTTTTTTGGGTTTGGCATAAATTTATTTTAGAGTTGGGAAGGGTGGTCCTTGGGGACACTTAAAGTGGCTTGAGTGGAAGGTTATGGATTTTTCCCTTGAGGTTCTTAGTGCCTGAGAACTTCCCACCTGCAGGAATGTCCTGTCTGCCTGCCAGGTAAGGAATAGGAATCCCCCAGTTGGTGTGTAGCATTCTGAGGAATTTAAAACCAGTTTCTTACATACTTAACAAGTATTAGAAAACCAAAATCTATGCGATCTTGGCTTTTAAGACAGACTGACCTCAATTAAAGGATGCAAATAAAATCTGAGTCTGAAAGTTCCTTGTGCTACAGCAGGGTCTTCTAAAGCACAGGTGGATGGGGGCTGAGGGAAAAGTGGTTGTCCTTAATCTGTGACAATTCATATAATTTTACTTATCACAATTATCCTTGAATGGATGGGCAAGATGACATTTATCACCGAAAACCATTTTGTTAATGCATCATACGACTGCATGCTGGCAGGGTAGGGATTTGGCCAGTTTTTGCAATGAAATACTGTCTTGTGGTTTATTTCTTCTTCGTGTTTCTGTGGGAAAGTGTAGTGCTCATAGCAGCAGAGGATAGGCTGCAGAAAGGGCACCAGGGCTGTGCTTCAGAGGCCTTATTTACATTGGAACGACCTACAGGTTACATCAGCAGTCATAGCAGTGCTACTGCTG